TGGAGTTAGAACAAGAGGTAGACAAGTTTGCGCTGGCATATTATTGGATTATCCGAGGTCCGAAGAGAAGGGGAGGACACGGTCATCCTCGAGTCCGGCAACTTGTTCTATCACCGGGAGGGCGACCATCTGTCCCTAGGAGGTGTCGGATTTATCGTTCTCAAGTCTCTCGTCAACAACGTTGTAAATATTGGGAGTGTGTCGACGAGGGTCGCGTACCTGATACTCAGAATCACCAAAAGGTATTTCCTGAAGGTCATACATGTTTACGCACCAACCTCGCCACATCCCGATGAGGAGGTGGGGGAAATGTATGAGGATATTTCTAGAGCCATGCATTCGTCAAAAGCCCACTACACCATGTTGATGGGAGACTTCAACGCAAAACGAGGCATAAAAGAAAGCGGTGAGCTGAATTTAGGGAAATTTGGAGTAGGGCAACGGAACCGTAGGGGCCAGCAGCTGGCCGACTTTATGGAGAAAGAGGGACTCTTTATGATAAACTCTTTCTTCCAGAAGCGGCCCCATAGGAAGTGGACCTGGTGGAGCCCCGACGGTTCGACAAAAAATGAGATTGACTTCATTATGACGACCAGATGGCAATTGTTCAGTAGGGCAACGTAACCGGAACGGGCCAGCAGCTGGCCGACTTTATGGAGAAAGAGGGACTCTATATGATAAACTCTTTCTTCCTGAAGCGGCCCCATAGGAAGTGGACCTGGTCGAGCCCCGACGGTTCGACAAAAAATGAGATTGACTTCATTATGACGACCAGATGGCAATTGTTCAGTAATGTCTCAGTGATCACGAGGGTAAAAACTGGCAGCGATCACCGAATGGTTAGAGGCACACTGAACTTAAACGTTAAGTTGGAGAGGTCTCGTCTAGTGAAGTCAACGCTCCGTCCCCCCATGCGCTAATCCAGGGTCCCCAAAACTTTCAGCTCGAATTACAAAACCGTTTTCAGTGCTTAGAAGACTGCAATACAGTGGACGATATGAATGACAAGCTCGTGGAAAATGTCCATGCGATCGGAGCTAAGTTCTGCAAGACCCGCCGCAGAAGAACACAAAAACTCTCCGATCATACTCTTAATCTCATGGATGTTAGACGGGCGATGAAGCTGCAGTCGTCAGCAGATTTGACAGCATACAGGCAACTGAACGGACAGATCTCCAAATACATGCAGCAGGACTTACGCAACTTCAATACAGCTTCTTCTTCAACAGATTAAGCGGAACCAGGGCTCCAAAGTCTTTGCCAGAGATCTGTCTGCCAGTAAGAACCAACTGTCAAAGCTGAAGACTGAGTGTGGCCTTATCGTTTCTGGGACACCTGAGATTCTGAGTTAGATTGAGCGGTTCTATGGGCAGCTGTACACATCATCGTTGGAGCCACACGCAAGTGTGAGTAACGATCCAAGAGCAAGCCTTATCCCACACTATTCCGATGATATCCCGGACGTCAGTCTGAGCGAGATTAGAATGGCTCTCCAGTACCTTAAAAACGGCAAGTCCCCGGGCGAGGATGGAATTACAGCGGAGCTTCTGAAAGGTGGAAAACCGGTACTTGAAGTCCTTCAGAAGCCCTTTAACTCCGTCCTTCATGGAGACACTACTTCCGAGGCGTGGAGCAGAAGTGCGGTGGTCTTGTTCTTCAAGAAAGGTGACAACGCCCTCTTGAAGAACTATATACCGATATCCCTTCTGAGCCGCGCCTACGTGCTGTTTTCGAGAGTCATTACGAATCGTCTCGCACGCAGAGTCGACGACTTCCAGCCTCCCGAACAAGCCGGTTTCCGAAAAGGCTTTAGTACCATAGACTACATACATACCCTTAGGCAAATTGTACAGAAGAACGAAGAGTAATCTGCCACTTCACCCGGCGTATGTGGACTATGAGAAAGCCTTTGATTCCGTGGAAATTTGGGCGGTGCTACAGTCTCTTCAGCGGTGCCAAGTTGACTGTCGAAGTTCTGAAGTGTTTGAACAGTAGGGCTACGATGGCTATCCGAATACAGAACCAAAGTACGAAACCTATCCAACTGCAGAGAGGTGTAAGACAGGGTGGCGTTATATCCCCGAAATTCTTCACCGCTGCATTGGAAGACGTTTTCAAGCTACTGGACTAGAAAGCATACGTAGTTAACATCAATGGTGAGTACATCACTGACCTTCGATTTGCCGACGAAATAGTCCCTATGGCAGAATCGCTGGAGGACTTAAGCACTATGACCTCAATAGTGCCTCCCAACGGATAGGTCTTGAGAAGAACATGGACAAAACAAAGATCATGTTTAATGTCCATCTTACACCTATGCCGGTAGTTGTTGGGAGCACTAAGCCTGATGATGAACCTGGGACAAATAGTCCAACTAGCTAAGTCCAACTTCGACCGAGAGGTCAATCGACGGATTCAACTCGGCTCGGCAGCGTTCGGGAAATTACGACACATCTTCTCGTCAGGTATACCTCAAAACCTGAAAACTAAGTTGTCTAAAAACTTTTTCTAAACGTTGTCTAAACTAAGTCGGAACCGAGACGTGGTCCTTCACTGCTGGCCGTATGAGGATGCTCTAAGTCGCTCAGCGAGCTATGGAGAGGGCTATGCTCGGGGTTTCTCTGCGTGATAAACTTAGAAATGAGGATATCCGCAGTAGAACCCGAGTGACCGACATAGTCCTACGGATTAGTAAGCTGAAGTGGCAAGGGGCTGCCATATAGCTCGAAGAAACGACAACAGTTGGGGAAAAAAGGTTCTCGAGCAGTAGCCACGTACCGGTAGATGGAGTGATGACCTGGTAAGACATGCAGGAAGTCGATGGATGAGTTGGCTCAGGACCTTGCTTTGTGGCATACCTTGGGGGAGGCCTATGTTCAGCAGTGGATTTGTGAAGGGCTGTAATGATGATGATGATGAACTACACATAACCTGTTAATATCTTATGCAATAATGTCTTACAGTTGCTGTTTATGTATCAAAGTCATATAATTTTTTCCAGACCGTATAATACATCATTACAGAAAACTGTTTTTTGACTTGATTAGTTCGATTAATTTGGTAGGGCCCCAACTAGTGTTAGCCCAGAGCCCCACAAATTCACGGTCCGCCCCTGACTTTTAGCTTTTACTTACGACTTCATCCGCGTAGATGCGAAAATATAATAATAATAGTATAATTACAAATGTATAGTGATCTTTTTCATCAGTCCTTAAAAATATTTTGCCGAACTTCGGCATCTTCGGTTGCTAGAAAGATTTTCCTTGATGGCACGCGTGAAGGCGGATTGACTTACCAAAATAGTCTCTACAGCAATTAGCATAAACGTCATCATTCAGAAACTTGCGTCTACCAATGACTACCTCTGATGCCGCTGTCTCTAAACGATACCAGAGAGACAGCGGCGACCCGAAGATGAGAGGTCACAAAAGTGTAAACGCATATGAAATGTAAAACATCCAAATTTCAATAGAGAGATAATATTTTAGAGACGGCTGAGTGCTACCATCTGCTTCAAGTCCACTTCCACTTCAACCTTATTCTTTAAAAAATATAAAGTTTATTTTCATTTATTCATTCAATTATTCACTATAGCCTTTCAAATGTCCACGGCTGAACCTAGGCAAAAGATCTGCCATACATGCAGTAGTTGTCACGCTCAAAAACCGGGTTAATAACCTCAGTTTATTGTTACTTTCACCTGTAATCAGGAAGATGGGCTGCTACCTGTCTCCTGTTTCAGTATTCCTCCGTCACCTCTTACGTCATCCCTGGGGTGAAGAGTAAGGATTCTCTTACGTCTCCATTAAATGGCAACGTTAATTTATTAATGTTCATATTCGAAATAATTAGTGATAGTTACATGAATAATAATTATTTAGCATTTCCTTTTTGCATTTAAGGTCGGAGCACACTAAATGCATAAATTGTGTGTTATATGCACTCGGTAGCTATTAATGTATAAAAATGTATTGAAGACGTCACACCATAAGAGTTCCGTGTGAACGCAGGTGTTTTTATAAGTAGTACAGCCATGCTGCAGCTATATTATGGTTGTTGCACAAATAGGTCGGCTCCACAGGGGATGGACTACGCTCGTACAAAATACCAGCGTAAAATAGCAGCTTAATACTGCTGTGTTTCGCATGGTGAGTTTAGTGATCCGGTGACAGATTTTAATAGAAACGAGGTATTCCATCTTAGTCCCTAAGGGATGACCACGCATCTGTATTTTAATTCTTAATTACAGCATCCACTTCAAATCAGGTGAACTATGTGCATGTTTGTCTCCCTCATTCTACAAAAAAAATCTTCCACACAACCAGTGACTCCAGCCATTAATCTTATAATATTAAGCATTTTTTGGATTTTTTTTATTCGTTCATCGAATTACAATAAAACATTGTTAAGCTGTTAGCCGCAAAGGAAGGCTAGTATATACAACACGTACGAATTAACTTGAGACTCCGCTGGAATGCGACCCCCTTCCCGACTCCCCGCACCGCGTCCCGCACTGGCCGTGCGCGCTCAGTACCGATAGCATTTTTGTTACGGATACGCGTCTCGACTCTAGTTCGATATTTTTGATAATTGTTTGTTGTTTGGTTTGGACTTTTGTTAAAGTGTATAAAGAATAAATTAATAATTTTATAAATGAGAAAGTGTGTATGTTTATTTATTTGTCCTTCCTCGACGCGTTAAATAAAATTAATATTATATATATTAAAAAAAAAAATATTTAAAATATATAAAAATGGCAACAGTATATCACTTATTACTTCACCCCTTGCCAGAACATTTTATTTTGTTTTTTTAATAATCTCATGCAAATCTCAAAAATTTCAAATAAAAAAATATTACGACGCATTATTTTGCACACCGTACATTGACAATTACGTCATCGGCCCAGGTCTCAAGTTAATTCGTATGAGTTATAAATATTTTAAAGTTAAGCTGATAAGAAGTAAGTCACTTGAGAAAGAATGCGAGTGAATACTCACTGTCAGACCGCTGGCAAGTGTTAGTAGAACATTGAACGTTTCCATTGGCGAGACACAAGCAACTATTGCAGTCCCGGTAGAACACTGTGTTGGGCTTGCACATGATTGGTTCGGCTGTAAAGAAAACAATAAATGGTAAGAAATTGTTTAGCTGGATGCAGATGCAGTACACATATTTTCAAAGGTTTTCAGTGTTAAGTTTACTGAAGAGCGCAGCAGTTCCAGTCGGTCAACACGAGATAATAATGCAATCCGAACTTAGGTCAAGGCGAACAGTTTCAGTACATGAGTGTTTGTGCAAGCGCTGGTGCACCCTATTTCCTCACTATCATAGTCCGATGGAAAGGCCATCCGATATAACCGATGAGAGATTAGCTGCTGTACAGTAGTTAGTTTGTACACAAACTAACTACTCTATACCAACGTCCTTATGTCGTACCAACTTCAAGACTCCGGGTTACTACTGAGAATTTCGTGACAGAAAAACTCAGTAACTAACTGATTTTGTTCCGACCCAGGATTTAAACTCGGGACTACATAATCAGCAGTCGCGCTTCTGACCATCAGATCAATGAGGCAGTCAAGTCAAGTCAAAGACAGATGTAAGTGTCTACTTACCGCCGGGACTTGTATCACAAGATTCCTGCTTCCGACACTGTGCAATGCCCGAAGGAAGACACCGACATTGGTAGCAATTGGTTTCCCATTCTGTGCCGACTAGGCATTGTACTTCTATAGATTGTTCGAGCTGAGCTTCCGATAGCGCTGCCTGTTCTGTAAAAAGAATAATTTAACATTTAATAAAAAGGTAATAAATGGTATGTCGTTTAAATAATTAAATTAAAATATTCATCCCCTATTTAACGCCAACAACACCCTCGAAGTATAGAGTATTTAATAAAATAATCACTTAAATATGTTCAGCCGTTTCCGAGAAATCAATTCTCGTGGGTTTACTTTATAGCATAAGGTGGCAAGTAAGCACACATCCCACCTTATGGTGAGTGTGTGCTGTGACCCATAGATATCTACATCTATCCTCGATTAAAAATCAAAACGCAGATGCGTTCTCACCCCTGAGGACAAAGATGCAATACCTCGTATCTATTAAATAGAGTCCCCGGTTCTCTACACTTACCATACAAAAGACAGCAGCACTGAGTCGCTATTTTACGCTGATATTCTGTGAGAGCGTGGTCCTACCCCGGTCGAGCCGACCGATTGGTGCTTCAACTATAATATAGCTGCAACATGACTCTACCTTGTAGTCTTTATTTTGTACCACGTTTTTTTGAACTCGGTTAAAATACCTATTTAATTGGGTTTATTAAACGAAGTAAATTCCTTTTTATATATTTTTTTTTGACCAAAAATCGTATTTTTGGAAAACACGTAGTTGAGTCACCTCACAGCGTATCATAACTGTGGCAAGAATGGATCGGCTTGACCGGGAAAGAACCACGCTCGCACAAAATACCAACGTGAAATAGCAGCTTAATGCTGCTGTGTTTTGTATGGTGAGTGTAGAGATCCTGAGACCCTTTTCACTTTTAACGTGGCATTCCATATTAGTCCTCAGAGGTGACAACTGCATTTTAATTTTTAATCGAGGATAAATGTAGATATCTATGGGCCACAGCATCCACTTACCACCATGTGGACTGTGTGCTCGTTGGTAACTTTCACTGGAAAAAAATTGTTAACCCTGCAGGCCATCCCTGGAACTTCCTGCTAAATTCGTTATGTTAAAGAAACGTTTTTCTTTTTTCAATTTTTTTCTCTTTCGATATCTCACGAACAAATGAACCGATTTTTATTTTTCAAACGAAATTCGACATTATTTTTTGAGGTTAAGAGTCCAGATCAGTTTTTGAAACCGATCGGTGAAGCCGTTTAAAAGTTATTCCAAAAAAAACAGTTTTCAAAATTTTTATTTTTGAGATTTCTCAAAATCTACTCGTCCGAATCAGTTCATATTATCAACACATTGAGACCTTTAGAACGCCGCCAACCGCAATCGATCGAAACGTTCAAAAGTTATGAAAGGTTTACATACTTACACAACATACAAACACATACATACATTTGTACGAATGTCCACGTGAAATTAGTCAGAATAGCTTCCTGGGATCTCAAAACATCGAGACCTGATGAAAACTCGATTTTCGAAAATCGGGGTGAAACCAATAACTTCCCTATTTCTGAAAATTTTCAATTTTTTTAGCGGGAAGCTAAAAAGATCATTCACGTATAAGATAAATTATCAACTTTAAAAATAAGACTGCATTTATTGTAGGCACGCCCAAATGTTATAACTAGCTTATTTTGTTTTTGCAGCCATTCTACATACTTTATGTATATATACTCTAGGTACTCAATGATGAGTAGTACTTTACTCATTATACTCAAATACAGTATGAATACCGACTTCACAAGAGATCGTTTACTTTATAAAAATAAACTTTTTTACATATTATATCTACATAGTATAAAACAAAGTCGCTTCCCGCCGCACCGTCTGTACGCAAAGGATTTTGGTGCGGTTTTCATCAAAAGACAGCATAATAAAAGAAGGTTTCTGGTTTATATGTATAATAATTGGATATGTTGTATAGTCGTCCAACAATCACCTACATTAGTTTAAAATATGTTCAAAGTCTAAGCCTTTAGAAATAATAAATAAAACCTTTAGATTTAATAAATAATATGGCAGTTTTTTCATTTTAATAGATTGTACTTATGTGATATTCGTATTTAAAAAAATAGTCTACCTACATAAAACTGAGTAAGTACTATCCCTCGCTCAGCTTATCTCGGAGTAGTTTACAATCTTTGTGATAGTACAACACATCCTATACCTTTTAAACGAGCAATTCTTGTACATATCGGAAACGGCTCCAACGATTTTCATAAAATTTAGTGTCCAGGGAGTTTCGGGGGCAATAAATCGATCTAGCTAGAATTTATTTTCAGAAAATGTATTTTTGTCCGTGTTTTCAGGCAATGATAAACTGCTACAATATAAGAAGGTAAATTTTGACATTTTGTTATTGATCGTAATAGCTCAAGTGGATATCGAGCGGTCGTGAAATCGTAATGCCTTGGTTCGCGTCCCGTCTTGGGTCCGACTTTTTATCCTTTTTTTTTTTCAAGTTCCCTTCTTTTGTGAGAAAATCTATTATTTCAAGCCCTTTTTTTAGTATTTTTTAAAAATACGAAAATTTTTAATTAAACTATCAATTTTTTATTCAAATAATCAGTTCAGATTTTTCTATTATGTCAATAAGATCAAAAAATATTATTTATGTAATTTGTATCTAAATGTAACTTAAAAAAAACCGAGCAAAGCTCGGTCATCCGGGTACTATACATAGAATATAAAACAGCAACTTTTTTAATCTACCACTGGTTCGGAAAAAAACCTTAGTCGTGGGAAGAACCAGCAAGAAACCGAACGGGACTTTAAAAAAATAACAGCTTTTAATCATGCATGTTACAATTATTAACAACACAAAACAAATTAGAATAACTTAGTTGTGATCACCTTTCCCAGGGGTTATTATCATCCATAAGTTTCTTAATATTATAATAACCCTTTTTAAAACAAACTTAGTTTAAAAAGTTTTTGATCTTTGTGCAGGTCAAATGTATATGTATATCTACATATCTTCTGCTCCTGCTATTTAAACTTCTTGCACGAGACGCAATCTCATTTGCTCCCAGAAATAATGACCCTGTTAATTATAGACACGTTATTGCTCTGTCGTATTTAACTACCACTTTAAGATAAAACTGTTCTATTTTTAAACGACATACAATGAACACTCAAATGAATAACGGCTTATCAACACCAACAAAAAGGTTATTTTTGTCCCTTTGAACAATAATTAGCGTAACTGTCGCTTTTGTTATATTTTTACCATGTTTCCTGGAACACGTAAGCCGAGTGTCGGATTTCACAGAAATTGGAAAGAGGGTGAAAATAATATCAGCTTGCAGAGACAGCCCTTCCTTTATCACGTAGATATACAGGGTTACTTTACAATAGTAGAGAAGATTCAGAATAAGTGATATTAGGCAAATGATGAAGGAATATTAATTTAAAAAAAATCAAAACATTCTGTCCTTATTAATTAATTTACAAATTCATGGTAATGCATTATTAACTGGCAAAAACGTTGTTGCCCATAAATCACATTAAATTTGGGTTAATTTTAAATCAATTTAAATAATATAACCTTATTTACTCGTATTTTTAAAAACTACAATAACGGTATATCAGTATTTACATATTTGAAGTTAATTTATACATTTGACTAGTCTTTGAAAAATCCAATAGTACCTATACGTTCCAATAGCTATATGCATCATATCGAAATCGTATTTCTACGGCTGTTGACTATGGTATATACTTAGTCTTTATGAAATATTTTAAGTAACAGCTGTATATATATATATATATATATATATATTGTTGCAGTATGAACTGATTAGTTCAAACGGTGAAGGACCACAATGGCTTATTCATATTAAATACATGCCATCTTAGCGTCATGATTTCAAAAATCTTGTAACTTTCTACACACACATATCGGGATAAATATGTCTAAATACGAAAATATATTTATTATCTAATCGTTAAATTACTCAGGACAGGATAGCAACGGGATTAAGTTTTTATTTTTGTAACTATTTCTTGTCGGAATTGGCAATTTTTGATATAAAACATGAGAAAACGAACTTACACCTCACATGATGTAAGTAGAGCTAATACCCATGGGTACCCGCAACCAACTTCAGACAAGATGCGTTATTATCTCTGTGGACTAAAATGAAAGACTGTAAAAGCCGTACACATAGTTGTTACATGAGTGTAGAGAACCGGAGACTTACAAGAACTAAAAATAATGTGTTGAAAGTGATTCCGCTTGATTTATTACGTTTTTGACCTTGAATAGCATTATTCACTACGCATTTACCCATTTTTTGTCGCGGCTCAACTCTGTCGACGTCACATTGTACACTGAACTGACGTTAGCTAGGCATATGGCTGTGGCCATATGTGAAGTGGCAACGCTTTGGCGCGGTTATTACTGATCTAGTGTAATATATAAATCAATGGTGGATACTGGCCAAACGTCTGGTTGTCCGATGGTGGAAAAGAGAGGGAGGAATTAAATTATGCAATTCCTGCGCACACTCCCCGAAATGCATCCTGTAGAAGACCGAAAGGCTGGCTACTTTGCGCCGATTTTTGAAGCTGGTAAGATTGGTTTTCACCAAATTCGGGTCACCAATAAGTCACCAAGGACTCCTAGCCTCCTTCAAGCCTCTTTGGCCTTAGACTCAATTATTCTATAAAAAAAAAAGGATGCGAACAATGAACTAAATAGGTCAGGTTTTGAATCTAAGTAAACTAAATATAATGCCCTTCAATATATTCCACCCACAAGTGTGGAAGCCGGAAGGGCTTTCTCAGCTGCAAGCTATTTAGCTCTGGCAGACGAGACTTTGATATTTGTTTTAATCGTATGAATGAAAGGGTGAGAAATTGCGTGATAAGAGATAAATGTGGTATGCAAGATGATGTTGTGACTAGGATTAAGAAAAGAATGCTTCTTTGGTTTATCATGTAGAAAGAATGAATGAGGAAAGAGTGACAAAGCAAATTTATATGGCAGATGTGAACGGCAGAGTCGGGAAGGGACGCCCTAGAAAAAAGTTTATCGACCAAACTGGCGATATTTTGAAAATGGTCCACGTTAGAAGTACCC